AGAAGAGGTTACGGGTCAAAGGAATGATATGAATCATAGGTCGGTGGGTGGACAACGGTTGTATCATATATATTACTAATTTACTAGTACAAGTCTACCTGGAGAAGATATCAAGATATCATTTAATTACCATTATAATTATTAATTAATGTGAACCCCAGGTTGGGTTGGCTGCTTAAAGAAATCATTAATTAATTAATTAATTAATGTTAATGAGGAGGAAAAGCAATTAGCTATGAGGCTCTGTGCGTGTGTCGTGTCGTCAGTGTGATGGTGAAATGGTTGGGACTAATCTTTGACCGTTTAAGGTGAGTGGTGTGTTGGGGTTCGGAGGAACTGCCACTTGTTTGGGATGGATTTTATTTTCTAAAACAATAACGCGGACAGCTGGCTTGTCCTTCTTAAAAACGCGGTTTACATTTTATTTTATTTAAGAAAAAAACAATATTATTTGCTCCTTATTATTAACTATTCTTCTTTATTTGTAAGTAAGATATGTAAGGTTTGATTTTCGTTAAAGGTGAATTTGAATCATATTATTACTAGTCCATTATAAGTCTTAGCCTACTCTCCACCTCCAATTAGTGTAAATAATATATCACGTATCACGTGCATATATGGGCATTGGAGGCTTTTGTGGGATGAGATTTCCATTTTTTTTTTAAATAGGGATTAATTGTAAGGCTCACACATCGAACTTCAAGGATCTAAACCGTCGACTTTTTAAGTTGCATCTCATAGATTATCTTCACAAAATAGTAGCAAATAAATATTAGCCAAATCGGAAATATTTGAGACATCTAATTTAGTTCAAAGCAATTGACGAACACTTTGTTCTATAATAGACAATAAAATTTTATTGCGATAATTAAATAGGCAAATAGTTTTGGATTGAATTGAATTGTTTCAATGGTGATCTATGAATCGAGACTTACAAAAAAAAAACAGTTCAGATCATTAAAGTTCGATTTAGAGTAGGTCTCACAACTAAGCCCCATTTAAAAAAAAATGTGAATTTTTTCTCTCTTAAAGCTTGTATTTGTATTAATGTTTGAGAGAGGATCCTTGCCAGTTCCTCTTTGTGAAGATCTTAGGGATCCTCAAATCACATTCGTTCTAACACACCTCGACTAGAGTTGAGGCATGTTGGCCGTCACCCGAAGGTAACGTAACCAAAGGTGCAATGATGTAAAAATGTGGATAAATTAAAACCAAAACTATAACTTATTTAAACTACTAAAGTGAGTGCGCAATTAGTGGCTAGAACCCATAAACTACAAATGTTCAGAGTATAGATAACATAAATGTAAAGCAGTCGAACTAGAGAAGTACTTATTACACAACTGGGGATAAGTTCCTACGTTAAAATGGAGATATGTCAGAATCACCGGGTAATCCTCGAGTGCCACAAAGTAAGTCAGCTATCTAGGACTTAGAGGGGTGAAAAACAAAAGGGTGAGTGGCATAAAAATAAAGGTTTATAAAACACAATTATTTTTTGAACATATTAACCCCTCACTGTAAAACATGTATAGTTTCCAGAAAAATCATACTATGTATAGGTATGAAATCAAATGCATGCCAACAGTAAATCCAGAAGTATGCCACAACACAGTAAGTCAACAGCAATATAAATATAATCATGTGCTTAACAATCTATACTAGCATGCAAGTCGAAGTCGCCTAATGCGACCTGTACGACTGCACCTATGGCTCATCAATATATGTCAACACACGAGTCGGAGTCGCCTAATGCGACTTGCACGAAAGGACTAGGTGTAATAATAATATACATTCTAGTGCTACAATCACGTAAAGACTAGCGCTATTCGCTATCGTATACGAGTTGGAATTGCCTATTGCAATCCGTACGACAGGATTAGCCCCTACTTGGATCCAAGGTGAGCGTGCAGTATTGATGTGAACAACACGTGAAAGACTAGCTTGACCCTGGGCTAAGCACTAACACCTGGGTGTAGCAATGATGAGCAAACTATATGAATGTAAACATGCCATAATGATTCAACAATTTCAATCAACATAATAACCTTACCTGGACCTACATGCGCGTCCCGTAATTATCTTAGCATTTCACAACAGTATAATATCTATAAGTAGGTAAAATGCATATGAATATGCCATACAATATATAAACCTCAACCACATAACAACATTTTAAAATTTTAATAAATCATGGCATAAATTCATAAATCAATTTAAAAGCATTTGTGGAAACTATAAAGTAAGTGTGTGTGTGTGTGTGTATACGAAAACAAAAATGCCCACTCACTGTTATGTTGATGGATCATAGCCCCTTAGTGTATACAAAAACAAAAATGCCCACTCATTGGTATGTCGATGGATCGTAGCCCCTTAGTCTCGTTTGTCCTCGGGGTAAGTCTCGCCTATATGCGAAAAACTAGGAATAACTCCCCATAGTTTGCTCAAACAGAAGGTTTAAATATACGAAAATGTTTTACTTAAAGTCACGGACCCACACATATCAACCAATCATCGGCCGAAGGCCGGACACGCCCTCACTCACCGCCTAACTCACTGACACACGCGCAGGCGTGCGCCTGGCAGAAACTAACAGAACCCTAATAAACGTTAGGAATATTTTCGTTAGAATTGACGAAATATTCCGTTAAATAGTAAACGCGTTACCTGACACCGTTAGAATATTTTGTCAAGTCTGACGGAATATTCGTCATCTCCTTCGGTGGGTCGCCGTCATCGATCGCCGCTGGCTGCTGTCCGGTTTCATCGGAAACTGGAAAAAATGGCTGCATTTTGGGGAAAAATTAAAACTCGCATAACTTACTCAATTCTCAACCATTTTCGATGAAATTTATATGGATTTGAAGCTTGTGATAAGGAAAACAAAATCGTACCTCTTAAAAATCCAAAAGGTGGAAGAAAAAAGGACTGAAAAAGGCTCGAAAGGTTCGGCCAAAAACTTGACTCCTTGAACTCATTGGTTTCAACGTCAACTTGACTCTAAACTTAGTCTAGGGACTCCAGAGAGTTGTGTAAAAGCTTCCCCACATTCTAAAACCTTATGACTCGGTTTGAAACTCGTCGAAGGAAAACTCACCGAGTCGGACCTTCCTAGTTAGCGAGTCAAAACTCATCCATTTCACAATCTAGTTATATGGTTGGGTTCGTGGTAGTGAGAGGAACACAATGAAGGTGATTTGGAGTTCGATATATGAAGGTTTGACGTCGTTCTTGAGGGTTGCATAGAAATAGAGCTTCGATGAAGAAGAGAGAGAAGAGAGTGAAATGCAGTTTCTGATTGGAGGAAATGGAATGAGGGTAATGGTTTCTGATTGGTGCAAGATTTGAGGGATTTATTTGATTGGTGAGGAGGGAGTTAGGGAAAAAGGAGTGAAGGTGAGGGTTTTAGGGAAAGTGATGGATTTTGGTGAGGAAAAGAAGGAACACAGATCCAATTTTTAAGGAAGATAAAAGATAGGGTTTGTACAAAAGAAGTCAGACAAAATCTAACATGCCTTATCTGGAACAGTAGTTTCCAGTACTAAATAATTAACGCATACGTGTACAATTCTACTCGTTGTTAACATATTTTAACGAAACGTAACCTTTTCGTTACAAGTCCGATTCGAGCCTAACTCGTGCTCACGCATTTGCAACAACGAGTACTATTTAATTACGATAGCAAGAAAAATAATTTAAAGCTACATAATCATGTCCACGTCACTTTGCCAATAAGGGCACAAATGTCAATTCACATACATGGGGAGAAATTACATAGAAAATTAGGGACGGGTCGTCAAATGTTCATCTTACATCGTGCGGTCAGAAATCATTGTAATTTTTTTTATTTAAAATTGAATATAAACAGTACTTTACGAAAACTGGCTGCACAATGCACAATAAACGGATGTGATTGGAGGATCCCTTCTCTTAATGTTTAATCAACAATTCTAGCATGCACGGTGAGCACAAATTGGTCTCTCATATTTGCTCATTCTCCTCGTCAACATGTATAATATAAGAGTAATGCTAAGTAAACTAAATTTATAGACTAAGAGCTCGTTTGGTTGTGCTTTTAAAATGGCTAAAAGTGCTTTTAGAGAAAATGTTTTTTGGTTTCAAAAACACTTAAAGTGCTTTCTGCAAGAAGCACCAGTTATGTGCTTATTCCAGGAAGCACTTTAAGTTCTTTTCCAAAATTTACTTGCATTTTTACTAAGGATTAGTTCCAAAAACATTTTCACCAAAAGCGCTTTTAGTCATTTTAAAAGCACATCCAAACAAGCACTAAATTTGCAAACTAAATTATGTGTCACCAATAAGAATAAGCACGTTAATCAACACATAAGTAATAATTCAATCATTAACTTCTATGTCATTTAGTTTATAGAATTTAGTCTACAACATTTAGTTTACAAAATTTAGTCTACATATTTAGTCTATCTAGTATTACCCATAATATAATATAGAAAATATTAGAGAGGCCAAATTTTTAAACCAAATAATATATCACCAATAGAAAATAAATATATTAATCAATACTTAAATAACAATCTAATAATTAACATCTATATCATTTAGTTTACAAAATTTAGTTAAAAAATTTGGTTTCCTTAACATTATTCATATAATATACAAAAATACTAAAGGAATCTATCACTCTATAGACTTTATGTCACTTTATATTTTTAGTAATATTTTATAATATTAGCACGAAAATTTAGTTAAATTATAGAGTAACAGATAATTCTTAAAAAGTATTATTGTCGGAGAATTCCTTAGCATTTCCTTTATAAAATTATCACAACCCTACCCCACCCCCGCACCAACCCAAACCGTGTGCAAAACTCGTACATCCAACGGTCCACAGAGTAGAATCCGGATGGTTCACATTATTATATATATTACCATGACTTTTCTTTTACTTACTCTACTTTTATATCTATGTTCACTGTGTGAAGTGTTGAACTTGCGAGGAAATACAAAAAGCAGGAGGCCGGAGGGTATTTTAGGAAGAACAGCATGAAATTGCGTCATATATATCAGTCGTATCCATAAATGTCATCACCAACTTTACCTTATCATCAACTGAGTAAACGAATGATTCTCAAAAGCCCAAACGCCACACTCATCTTAATTTGCACTTCCGCTTCCCCTTCCACTTGGATCGTTGCTTAAGTAACAGGCACCCCCAATTCACTTGGGCAGTGTGTGGCAGCGGGACTAGGAGGAGCCCCACTGAGTAGTGTACACAGAGCTTATTGTACGACGGTCATGGCGTCAGATGATAGTATGACCATCCGGTCTTGTATCTCCATGCAGGAAGACGAGTACGATGAGGATACCGATGATGGTTTTGATCAACTGCCCCATCCCCATAACTTGTCTAGGCTATTCATGTGTCCGTATCTGGTACCGATCTTGAGGATGTTATGGATTATGATATTAATCATGATGATCATGGTAACTATTACTACCATGGCCAAGATAAATCCCAAGCAGACACTACCGCCGGCATGAATATGTTCATGTCACTCTTGTCCATGGAAAGCTTTGACCGGGACGTACTGGAAGTTGGGCTGTCATCCGACTCCGACAAGGAACCCAGCTCTTACTCACTTCCGGCAACACCCCCAAGACGAAGGGCTCTAGGTGGAATGCCCGATTACAAGCATCGAAATCCCATGCTGCATAAAGAGTACGCCAGCGAGAATGAAGCTCAAACAGTCATGAGCAACATTTCCAGGAAGAGCAGAAGGAGAACAAGAAGGACGCGAATCATAAACGATCGACACTCATGGCTATCGGGATCACCAGACAGAGGATACATAGCTGAGAAGAAAGTTGATGATGATGATGACACGAAGGCCACCAAGAATAGGATGATGGCGCGGACGGATAGTAGTCACCTTGGCCATTGCCATAGCTTTAGCGGGGAGACTGAGGGTGGGAGTGTGGTAGTGATAACGAGGCCCAAGGGAGGGAGGAGGTCCCTGTGCATGGACATGGAGGAAGTCAAGGCTTGCAGAGATCTTGGGTTTGAGTTGGAGCACCAGCATATGCTGCACGAGATGCCCCTTAATCTTTCTCGCGCTGCCTCCACCCTTGACACCAACACTACCTGCAGTAGCGGCGGCAATTCCCCCATCGCCAACTGGCGCATCTCCAGCCCCGGTACATATGCCTATGCCTGCCTAGCTTCCATCTTATATATGCCTTTCCTTTTATTCCTTCTCAATTCTCAAACTGACCAGCCAAAGGTCATTTTTCATTGCATTGATCTCACAATTACCGGCATCATCTAAATTCGGGTCTAAATTATCTCTACTCCAGGTGACGACCCACGGGAAGTGAAGGCTCGAATCAAGGTCTGGGCGCAGGCTGTGGCATTGGCATCCACATCACGACAAGGCATCTGAGCTGACTAATCCACAAAAATGATCGCTTATTCTCTCAGCATGTGGTTTTTTAATTTACCTATTTCGCTTCCTACACTTATGTTTGGGTAGACCGTACAAGAAAGAGATATCACTGGGGTGGAGGGAATTCCCGGTATGTTATGTAGAATTTCCATTTTTGTTTCCACTCAGCACATTTTTTGTTCTTCTGGGTTTTGGATAGATTGCATTGTTTCGGTTTCCCTAGAAGGCTTGAGGTTTCTGGTTGACGTTCCTCGATCTTCATCTGAGTTCACCGTATTTCAGCGCTACCTCTGCAGCGCAGCTTCTCCACATTGTAAATATAGTAATATATTGTAACTGATCATTCTTTTTCGTGATGACAGTTTACAAACATACTTGATTATGTTCATTGTGTGTAAAGATTTTCAAGATTCAGTTTCATGTATCCATTTTGTGAGGCGTTTCCCATTGGATATTGGCAATGGGGATATTGATATTGTATTAGTTATGAAACATATATACAAAAGTCCATGTTCCTACATAGTCCTAATGTTATCTGATATCCGCTGTCAAAAATCATCGGAATATCGCTAACAAAATACTAAAGCAGAGACAAGGGAAGAAACAATGCCATGTTTTACTTGGACGAAACTCAGTGCAGGAGGCTTAAACCAAGTCACTGGCCGCTTTTAACCCTAATTCGGCTCTCAAAAGTAAACTGTGTTAACGATTACTACCCGCAGTCTGGCCGAAGGAGAAAAAATCTCTGCAAAACTCACTGAACAGATTAATACCACATGCAATGGACAACAACAAGGCACTTAGCAGATCGATTTAGCATGGCAAAAGACGACCTTGTCGACTGGGAATAAGTCATGGGAGATATGTCCTCACTGCAGATAGAAGATTGATTTCAGCCTCTCACAATTGAAATGGAGAGAAGAAATTGGGAAAGGGTATCGAAAGCTGAGAAAAACGAAGGCATCTTCTCATAATTTGAATGCTCAACTTACTCATTGGTTGCTAACAAGCTGAAAGCTTGTGACTGAATTAACACACCAAGGAGCCTTATTCAAACCAACAATTTTTCCCAACCCAACGATGGACACCCAAGTTTCACGAGTGATGCCGGAGGCTCAACTAGCATGCTAAAAATGAAATTACCTTGGAGAAACTGGATGTGGGAATTCATTCCTATACCATGAGGATCGGCAGATGGAGGTCTAAACTTGCTTGGAGCTGATGAAAACAACTACAAAAGTCAAAATCCTTGACAAACTGATAAACAGTGAGTACCGTTCTGTCATTTCATGCCTTACATGTTACGCATCAAGGAACATTCCGACATCACTCGGGCATTTCACTCTGGTAGTTTTGGAAACAAGTCCCGGAACTCATCACAGTGTAGTATGGACGCCAGACCCCCACCAGAACATTCAGAGAGAAGGGCCTCACGCACAATTTAACAGGAGCAAGTTCAATGCAAAACCTGATCAGCTTTCTGCATTCCTTACTTTGGACAATACATTAACTCTTCCATAGCAGCCAACCATATCCTTTGCCCTCGAAAATTTAGTTGTGCGGATTGACAATCAGAAGATCTCCACTTTGGACCGCTGGTTGCTCGATGAGTAGTGGTCTTGGGAGCCGACCTCAGTAAACAGGATGGAGCTTGGGAGGCTGCGCTACTCTCTCTTTTCTGGGATCGGCACGGTCATAGGAAACATGATGGGTGAGTCTCTGTTTGTGGTTTCGCGATTAGGACTGAGTCCCTTGCTGTCGTGAAGGGGTTGGAGCTTGCTCATTCTATGGGGCTACGGCCTTGAACCGGGACTCGTCGAGGTTGCACTTATTAGAACCTTCCACATAGCCACCACCACCAACAACTTTGTCTGCCTGCCAACACTACCATGTACATCCCTTACGCCGCTGCCAAGATTTGACCCGTCCCGGAGTCGGTCTTGGCTTGTAGATTCGAGTAGGGGAGTGAGTTAGTAATGTAATTAGTCATACTTGGTTCTTTGACTTATGAGGTGCAAATCAATGGGTCAACCAGATTTGGTTGATTGGAGTGGTTTAAGGTGATTTGATCTGGTTTTTGGTGGTGGCGCGGCTAGGCTGAGTTGGTGATGGTGGTGGCGGTAGACCATTTCGGTTAAAATTTAAAATTTCAATTTTAATTCAGGAAGAGTAGTTTTGATGGAGGTCCGGCAATGGTTTCGGCGTTGAACCAAATTGATTTTTTATAGTTTCCAAAAAAAAAAAAAATATATATATATATATTGATTTTTTATTTTCATCATTTTTAATTCGGTAAAATAAAGATGGGGTTTGTAATTAGCGCTTGAATTTTTTTTAATATGATTGATATTTCTATGAAAATATTTAAAAAATTAAAGAAAGATATGAAATTTTGACTAAATAGATAAATTTTGTTGATTCTATCTATCGGTATTTCCACAATTGATGTTTTATTTATTTTTTCATCATTTTCATTTTAGGAAAATAAAAATGAGGCTTGTAAAACAATCCGGACATCAGGCAGCGGTTATTCGGTGATTTGTCAATGATTAGTTTGAAAAATATGGTCAAACAAACAAGTGTCCCACCCTCACGGTCCCACCCATCCAAAAGTCCAAATTCATTTATTGACCCCAACAGCATCACCATGATCATCAGATACACCCTAATCACTAACATCTCCAATCATTCCTTACCAAATTTGTATTAAAATGAAACAAAGGGCCCAAACTAAACCCAATCCGACCCATCTAAAATGCAACTTTCTTTTAAAAAGTTATGTTCACACAATTATTTTTATGTTTTGTACGCTCTCATTAATTTTTAATCATTATTATTTTTTAATTCATTCGATTTGACAGTTTAAATTAAAAGAAATATGAAAAATAAAAATGATTGTTAGTTTTTTTTTTTTTTTTTACCGTTTTCAATTTTCTTTTTTACGTTTCAAATTACTTCTACTGAAGCCAAAACCATTTAAAAACTCCCCAAAAAACAAAAAGGGACACTCGTTGTCCTTGATAACCGAACCCCAATGTATTTTTTATTATTTTAATATATTTACTCATTTGTTTTTAAATTAAGGTTTTTAAAATAAAGAAAAAAGAAACACCCACATAACATTTTGTCTACCCCCATTTCACTAACTTTCTTGCTCTGTAGACTCTGTAATGTGACCCATCTTCTCTCCTTATCCTTCTCTCTACCCCCATTTCACTAATCTTCTTGATCCTTTCTCAGCCGTCACCAATACTCACTTGTTCTTAGAAGGAAACTTGTTACTTGCCATCCCGTATGATTTAATCAATCTCTAAGCTTTGCATCGTGTTTGGATATGGATTCCAAATGGGTTTGTTTCGCTGTCCTCGACGCTAGGGGTGGGCACGGGCCGGGCCCCAATTCGAAAGGACCAGACTAAACCCGCTTAAAAAGGAAATGAGCCGAGCCGGATATTACGAATCTCATCACTAGAACCGGACCTAACCCGACCCGTTTGAAAAGGGTCCACGGGTCCTTTTTTTTTCCTCGATTTGGATCGCCTTCCGAACTTGCTCTGTCACTCATCCTCCAGATCTTTGATATCGCTGGAGCTTTCCAGATTCTGCAGAGAAGATCTAGAAATTGTCTAGGGTTAGACTCAGCTCTATTCCTTCACCAAATTAAATTAAAACCCTCTAGAAAAGGGTGTGAAGGAAATAATCTTTCTTGGCTTGCAACAAGTGCTAGCTGATAGAAGCCTGAGATTCAAAGACACCATCTGTAGCCACACATACAGAAATCAAAAAGTTCAGAGCTTTGCTGAATCTAAGCTTATTTGAATCAAACCCCATCAATATACAACATATAAATACATATATATAATTTTAGATGTTAAATTTGGCAGTACCTGAAATGACAGTTGGAGAGGAATAAGAAGTAGGACGACCCGGAAAAAGGAAGAGGAAGACAATGGAAAAACAGAAGCAGAAACTCTGATTAAACACCATACTTTATGGGTCTTCTCTATCATCACTACCAACCTCTTTGCCTTCTACACTCTTCTTCCAGCTACTACAACTTCAAATTTATCATCGAAAACATTGTGTTCATCCAAACCCGCCTCGATTCTCTGTCGCGGGAGCCAAAGCGTCTCAAATCCTCATCCGGGTCTTTTCCCTCCAAACTCCTCTTCAACCGCCCCGCCGCCTCCTCCATTCCACAACCACAACAACCAATCTCTCTCCCCACCACCACCAAGTCATCATCAACCCGCCTAGCCCTCATTGTCGCCTCGCAGGAAAACGGAGTCTGACTCGTCCACGGCCTCATGGCATGCGCGGAAGCCGTCCAGCATAACATCTTCAACCTCGCCAAAGCTCTGGCAACCCAGATCGGCTACCTGGCAGGTTTACAAGCAGGCGTTAGCGCTTAGGTAGGAGATGAGAGAGATGAAGTTCGAGAAGACGATGGAGATTGGAGTGAGTGACTGAATCTGGAAGTGAAACCTGGACACACAGGACGTCAACTAGAGTAAGAATTAACGGTTGAGATTAGATGATATGGTATCATTTAATCTCGACCGTTCATTATTATTAGAAACGGGTCGGTTGGGGCCCCATTTTTCTAAGGATTAGGACCCGGCACGCTCCATATTTAACAGCACCCCGCCTCGCCCCAGCCTGTTTACTCTCTACAATATTTGGAACTGGCCCGTACCTGCCCCGAACCTACATTACCTACCCCAGCCTGTTTACTCTCTACAATATTTGGAACTAGCCCGTACCCGCCCTGAACCTACATTACCCGCCCCAACCCCTGGTTCCTCTACCCGTTTGCCCACCCCTACTCGACGCTGCTAGATTTGTCTGCGTCCCCACTCGATCCACTGCTTTATTGATGCTTTGACACACTATTCTCTTCCCCACTAGGTCAGATCATGGAATCTCTCTCTCTCTCTCTCTCACATTTCCTTTCAGTCACTCTCTCTGGATACAAGATTGCATCTTTATGTTTCCAGCTTTGATTGATTGATGAGATACTGTGAAGTGAAAGTGATACAAGATCCATAAGGTGGTGGTGGAGCTTGGGAATTTGGTTTTGACTTGGAGCTTGAGGTTGAAGGTTTAATGGGGTTGATGCTTACGCATTGACGGTAACCATAATACTTTTGAGTTTGAGAAAAGATTATATGTATATGTATATGTATATGTATATATGATGCTGATGCTGCTGCAAAGTTAAAGTCTTTGTTCGGTCACAGAGGTCTCTGTTCTTCTGAGTAATGAGTAACGGCACATATCACGTTGTGGGTTATTTTGTACCCTTTTATGGCAAGGGCGGCGGCAATGGCGTGGATTTAGAGTTTCTGGAGCCGCTCAACGAAGGGTTAAGCCATTCTTTCTGTTATGTTAGACCGTTAATTTTTGAATCTCCTGCCATTACCCCTACAAACTCTGAAAGGTTTACCCTTGATTCCAGCACTTTTGATTCTGAAACATTAAGTGGCTCATTCAAACATGATACTACCATAGATGATCATCCCTCAGGTTTACATAAGCCCACCAAGTTATTCCCAGAAACCACATTCAAGACTATGTCGGGGGCTTTTGTCAGTGCTCATTTCTTTACCACTCGCATCGACAACCAGATTGCACTCATAACTACTGATGTTCAAGAACCCGCGACCTAGTTCCAGAACACCTCCTCGTTCTCTGCAATTCCTTTGCAGCCTGCACGTCATGGCTCTGGACCTTTGAATGGCTTTATGTCTAGGCTTCTGGAGAGATGTTTTGCTTCCAGTCCTCTGGAAAGGGGTGACGGTTTCATGTCTGAGCCACTGGAGGAGGGTGTCATGTCTGGTCCAAATGATTATACTGACAAATCTAACTTTTCTGCTCCGCTTGCACGCGGTAGTGGAAGACCAGGCTTCCAGCGTCTTATGAGGAGTGTTAGTGTGCCAATGAAAAACGCATTCCCTTGGACCTTCTCAAGACATTCTGTGGGGTATGGTTGGATGCAATGGTTCTTCTTGCACCCAGTGACTCAACTTTCCCGGAATCCTAAAAAGCCAAAATATTGGCCAGAGGCTTCACAAAACCATCATGAAGGGGGGCGCCGTCATGAAGGGGAATATAGAAATACTCATAACTTGCAATGGGCTCATGGCAAGGTTGGTGAAGATAGGGTTCATGTTGTGCTCTCCGAAGAGCAAGGGTGGTTATTCATTGGGATATATGATGGGTTTAGCGGCCCAGATGCACCAGATTTTCTGATGAGCAAGCTCTATAGAGCAATTGACAAAGAACTCGAGGGTTTGCTTTGGTATTATGAAGATATATCTCCAGTGATCCACCAAAGCAGGAACTCTTAGAACCGGAAATGCCAAGGTTGGTCTAGTGACCAGCAAGAAGGACCTTTCAAATCTTTCTTCAAATCAAGAAATTTTTAGTAGTGTAATATATCCATGTAATCCAGGAATTGCCAAGGGTCAATCATCTAGGTTTGAAATAGTCGAGGAAAACAATGGAGTTAGGATCGGTATTGAATAGGACTTACCTCATTGCAAACAAACCAGTATCTCGGATACTGCTTCTATTTATGTTCCAGCTGCAATTGTAACTGGTCAAGGAAGAAAAAACTTGTAACTTTATGAGCTACTCTAGATGGAAAATTAAGATGGACAAGATTCTCTGTCACCTTCAGAGCTCGATAGGAATACAAATACTTTTGATACACCAGATAAAAATCCCAAGTATAGCTATGTGAATCCCAAGGGAGATGTTTGTGGCCTTTGGGGTGAAGACCCTATTACTCCAGGAGGGAGAGGTGGATGCGCTTGTATTGAATCCAGTTATCAAGATGGTATTGATGTGGTTTCCGTTTCAGGACAGAGGCAGGGTATACGAAAGATTTCAATGAGCTCAAAGATTAGAAAACTGTACAGAAAGCATAAATCATTGCATAAAAAACTATTGCCTTGGAACTATGATTGGCTTAGAGAAAAGGCTTGCATCGATGAGAAAATGGGCGAGTATGTGGGACCTATTATGAAGTGCAAATCAAGAATTGTGGATCATGCATTAGTTTTAAGAGCAATGGCTCGAGCTCTTGATCAGACTGAAGAGGATTACATGGAAATGGTGGAAAAGGCTCTTGACAAAAATGCAAAACTTGCTTTGATGGGATCTTGTGTTTTAACCTTGGTGATAGCCGTGTAGTTTTGGCACAAGAAAGACCAAACGATCGCCATCCTAACCCAAATTTAAGAAAGGATGATGTGTGGCATAGGAATAAATTCAGAGAGTCATTAGCACGTATGGAGTTGGACAGAATATCAGAAGAATGTCCAGTGCATAATCAAAATGGTCAAGTAAACAAGATAAAAAAAAAACAGAGAGATTTCTTTATGCAGATTAAAGATGAGGGCGGTTCAGCTTTCATCCGATCACAGTACAAGTGTGGACGAGGTGTGTGTCTCATTTTTTTGTCGTTTGATCTAGTTGCTGTTTTTTTATTTGTTATGAAGATTTTAATTTGTATCGGTTAATTGTTATATTGATGTTCATTATTTCATGGTTATCGAACATAATCGTAAACAATGCTTTGTATATTTGCACATGCATTTGCACCTGCGTCCGAATCTCCCACCTACAGAAATTAACCATGACATGGCATTGTAACATCTGCAAAATTTACTTTAGGCATCCGCTTAGGAAGCCCTTCCTCTGTGTGTGTGTGTGTGTGTGTGTTGGAGCAATATTAAATATTCTCTTGCCAAACTCGTCAGAAAAAATATTGGAGCTACACATTCAGGAAAGAGTCAAAGAAAATGTGTGGTCCTCATCGACAATCAAAGCTATATGTAACTGTGTGCAACAAATTCTGCTAGTCTCCAAAAAACATTCAGAACTTGGAAGGAATGTTCAGATACTTATATTGTATTTTGCTCGGATTTTGAAACTATCACTCTTTTGTGCATTTTGTCTATGTGGTTGCTTTTTACCATAATTAGGTTTACATTAGTATCTTAGGACTATGAAGATTGCTCTTGATTATGGACTTTGGGTGATAATTCCTTCCATGCATTTTTTAAGCCACTGAGAATTGCTTGAGTTATTGCTCTTTCTAACCTTAAAACTAGTGGTAATTAGTGTATGAAAGTCACATATATAATTTAGTATATTGATATAGCTTCTTAGGTGTATGACTGATTGTAGCTTTATCAATGAACCTATTTTGTTTGCAGCCAACATGTAATGATGCTCTGCTGGAGATGTTCCAAGTTGATTATGTGGGAACTGCTCCTTACTTAAGCTGCATTCCTTTCGTTGTTCATCATCGACTTTCCTCAAGTGACCGATTTTTAGTACTGTCATCGGATAGGCTATATCAATATTTCAGCAATCAAGAGGTAGTTGCCCATGTCACTTGGTTCATGGAAAATGTTCCGGAAGGTAATCCTGCACAATATCTCATTACGGAGCTTCTCTCCATGTTGAAATAAAGAATGGTTAGTCCACTAATTTACTTGTCTCATTATCTCAATAGAAGCTTACATGCCATAACTCTTATCCCAAAGGAAAACAGAAAAAAAAAAATGAAAAAGAAAACTAGAGAGCAAGATGATATGTATTGATGTGGCGCCTGGATTGCTTTGGACTATCTTTCATTTGTATACAACTCCTTGCTCGTGGACACCTTTTAATTGTGTGTATCTCCTTCCTTAACCTTTACATAACGTATTTTATACGGTTTCTTGGGAAAGGTCAAATGTAGAGCATCGTAGCTGGTTTATCTGTTGTTATAATATAATAGGACTCTGGAGACAATAAATTAACGAAGCTGCTTAATCTTCATAGATGCAGTTTTGTTGGAAACCCCTTCACTCAGGCTTTAGACTTCAGCTGTCTGTTTTGAGATTCTTAACATTTGTTGCAATCCCCAACCTCTCACCTATAACATTTTTCTACTCATTGTCTGTGCATCTGCCTTAACAATGAAAAGCAACTAATTGGAAGTTAATGTTACTGTCTAGAGAAAATCTTAAAGCTGTCCCTTGTTTCCAATATTTGTTCCATTGCCTCCACAAGACATCAAAATTTGTTATGTTGCCTCCGCTAAACATTGACAGTTCGTGCTGATAAGCTGGTGGTCGTTAATATCTTGGATTCATTCATGATGATTATAAGAACTATTTACATTCCAAACGAACAAGAGAGAGGAAGTTAGATGATACGGACAGAGTGTTAGAATATTTACAAAAAATTGCAGTTGAATGATCCTAATTTCTTCTATGCTATACAAGTGGATGAAAATGATTTGATTACTAATATCTTCTGGGTCAATTCAAAGACGATAGTGAATTATAATTATTTTGGTGATGTGGTATGTTTTGATCCTTTTTGCGATATTTCGTAAACAAACGGTTGTATTTGGTGCTGCATTATTGTGTGTTGAGATGGCTGCCACACTCAATTTGTTTTTGATACTTTTGTCAAGGCAATGCCTAGAATGAAAAAAAAAAACTACTCTAACAAATCAAGATGCAAAAATGGCCAAAACATTGTTTGAGAAACGGCTACAAATATGTCATCGTTTATGCATCTGGCAGATATACTAAAACGCAGCCAAGCAACTTAGAAGTGTTTTTGAGAACTTGATGATTTTGCCAAAGTTTAGTAGTTGCATATACGACCACAAGGATGAAGATGATTTTCTTGATGGAGCAACATGATGCAGAATTATAATCTTATATACGATGATTGGTTGAACCAATTATTGTTGTAAAAGAGAAATGGGCATTAATTTATAGGCGGCAAACTTTTTGTGCTGATATTACCACTACTATTTAGCATAATGAAAATATGAATAATGTTATCGAGAAGTATGTCAATTACAAATAATTTGCTATAATTTTTTAAACATTTTGAAAAGTTGTTGACGATCGTTAGTATCAAGAGTTTGTCAAATTATCAAAAAGATGAACTTAATATCTGTCTTCAACAACATCGATATTATTTTCAATTATTTATTTAAATGCACAATCTGACATATGTACGGTTTCATCACAATTAATTAAAATGAAATTAAGATATTTAAATTCTTCTTGTTTTTCGTCTTTGTCCATGTAACACGAGGGGTGATCACGCAATTCAATATGTCAAATGACGAAACGATCCTTCCCACCCTGACGTGGTCGCTTCCCATTGGTTCCCACAATAACCACTCATAAATCGCCGCGCCAAAATCAACGACTCGGAAAAAGAAGAAAGAAAAGAATATCTCATCCTCATCTCTCCTCTTCCACTTCCTGTACTCTACCATGAACCACTGACAGAGCCTGGGACCCACTCTCAAATTCCTTTCATGGCGAAGACTCTCATCTCATCCACACCGTTCGTCGGCACATCTCTGCCGTCCGTCTCCCGCCGTGGGTCCTACACTCTCCCCTACCGCAGCAACGGACTCGCCACCACCAGAATCAGGTTCAGCCTCCACGACTCCGTTCCTCCGATTAATCCCTTCGACCACTCCCCCGTCGACTTCGCCTCGCTTTTGAGCCGCGCCGAGGGGCTTCTTTACACGATTGCCGACGCCGCCGTCGCCGTCGACCCGAGCTCCGCCGATGCTGCGGCTCAGAAGAATGGCGGGTGGTTCGGCTTCATCTCCGACGCCATGGAGTTCGTACTCAAGGTAGTTTGAGTTTCATAAATTTATTTAATTTTCTGAGAAAAAGAATGAAATTTCGGATATTAGTGGCTGATATTTTACCGCTGAAATTGAATTTTAATAGATTTTGAAAGGCGGACTCGATGCCGTGCACGTTCCGTATTCATACGGTTTTGCAATTATACTGCTTACGGTGATCGTTAAACTTGCCACACTGCCTCTCACAAAGCAACAGGTTTGGTGTTTGTTAGTTGATAATTCGTTTTATTTTTTTTTCCTTTTCAAAAAACTCATTTGTTTTGTTTTAATTTGAATTTTTTGGTGTAATATTTGTAATATGCAGGTGGAATCGACGTTAGCGATGCAAAACCTTCAACCAAAACTTAAAGCCATTCAAAAAAGATATGAGGGCAATACGGTGAGGCTTTACCTTTGTTGAAATGGGTTTCCTTTTAACTGTTGAGTCAGAGTAATTGCCGAAATGTGGTTAAGTGTTTTTCTGCCTCTGTATTCTTGTGGTAACTAATTCGTAACTATGGTTTTTCGCTATTTAGGAAAGAATACAACTTGAGACATCACGGCTGTATCGGCAGGCAGGGATTAATCCATTGGCAGGTAAGAAGTTTAATTAATCACTATTATATTATGTTCATGTATGTGTGCATGCGTGCTGGATCGATCATTTATTGCGTTACTTGAATATGAAACACCTTCAATATGAGTTCTAATCGGACTTAATTTGCATATTCTTACATGAACTTTAAACACAATTGTTCGCTGTATTGGTTCATCGTGAGATATTTAAGTTTTACTAATGGAACCAATTTTTGTTTATGTTTAACTTTTAAAACTAAGATTTTGATAGTTTTGCAATGCCATGTTGAGCTGGTGTGTTGAATTTAATTTGATTTCTTGATCAGTATTCTGGTGTGTCACCTTGAGCCAAATTACAAGGCTCTAATTCAATTTTGAATGTAGGGTGTTTACCAACTTTGGCCACAATACCGGTTTGGATAGGTCTATATCAAGCTCTTTCAAATGTGGCAAATGAGGTAATTAGTAGGTTGCCACTAAATTTTCAGTTGTGAGATGACTATTTTCCTTAATAAAAACAGTAGTGCTGATATTTGCAAATTTTTGTTTACTCAAAGGGATTGTTGACAGAAGGTTTCTTTTGGATCCCCTCTTTGGGTGGCCCAACAACAATTGCTGCTCGACAAAGTGGTTCTGGCATTTCGTGGCTGTTTCCATTTGTGGTAAGATATTTTGTGATTTCATGAATTATGAAGCTAACGATTGTTATACTGCTAAGCTTAGTCAACCTTAGTTCTGGAAGCAGTCTACTAATTGTTAGCTAGCATTGCCTGTCTAACAATTGGTAAAGTGTATGGATAAATATGTTGAAGTTTTAATTGTACATATGAAAGGGAATTTTAACAACTCTAACTTAGATTTTTTAATAATTTGATCGGTCTTTCATTCAGTTTGTGTTCTACTATTTTACTTGCATTCTTAGTTGTGGATCTTTAATATGGATGATAAATATGTTAGAAAGGTGAACGAGTTATCAATGAACCTTGAAGCACTTTACTACAGCAATTTAGGCATAGTACCTGATCAAAGCGAGTAGCTGTATCATATTACTACTGCGGCCAAGTTACTTTCATTTGAATTCAACTGGTTATTACAAAGTATAATTTATGACGCAGGATGGACATCCACCATTGGGCTGGTCTGACACTGCAGCATACCTTGTTTTGCCTGTCCTCCTTGTTGCTTCTCAGTATGTTTCAATGGAGATCATGAAGCCTCCACAGGTAAAGACTTGTGTGTCTGCATTTACATTGGTTTCTTCATTTTTGTTTTGATTCCTGTTTCCTTTTGCTACAAAAATAAATAAATAAATAAATAAATTATGGCTGCAGGGATTGAATTATGGGCCATTCAGGTGTGTGGTTAACTAGACTAACATATTTTTATTTTAGTGTTTGTAACCTTAACTCTTCCTTTGGCAGACTGATGATCCAGCTCAAAAAAACACACTTCTTGTATTCAAGTTTCTTCCCCTCATGATTGGTTACTTCTCCTTGTCTGTTCCTTCAGGATTGTCAATTTACTGGTTAGTTTTTCATTAACGAAAATTTACTATGTATATCATCTTTCATGTATGTTGTATGCTAATACACAAATTACTGCCTCGATTTTGCCTGGAACTTCCGTAAAGGCACATGTTAAGGAACGTGACAAGGGCTTTAAGATTATTCTGACAAGGGCTTTTAGACTGTTTCTTATTTTCCTTTTAATGTCTTAGAACTCTTATTCTTTCTTACAAAGGGATTTAAGATTATTCTGATTTGGCCTTAGATGTCTTAAGGTATTTCTTTATTTTATTTTATTTAAGGTCCATGGTTTTTTCAGTTTTGTTTAAAAGGGACAGCTTACTATTAATGATTTTTCTAGAGTCACTGTCAAATTTTGTTGGTACAGAAAGTAGCGCTTTCATTTCATACTGTAAAAACTTATCATTCCACTTCATTTTAATTTTTAATTTTTAATTATTGTTCTCTTGGTGTTTGCCACCATTTTCATGTAATGCAATCTATCTAGGAATAAATAAAATATGTTTTCTTTCCTTTGCAAGCTGTATCTGGTGTGATTCTGAAAAATGATTCAAAGTGACCTTGTTTACGCTCATTCTTTATCAGTTGTATCATGTGTTTTTCAGGTTCACAAACAATATCCTCAGCACAGCACAACAAGTATGGCTGCGCAGATTAGGAGGTGCAAAGCCTGCTGTGAATGAGAATGCAAGTGGAATCATTACAGCAGGACGTGCAAAGCGATCAGATTCTCAGTCAGTAGAGGCTGGCAGTAGGTTGGTGTTATACTCTTGGAGAATTGTATAAAATCTTACATAAAGTTCTGTTCCTGACCAAATGAAAAATGGTGATCAACAGATTTAGGAAGTTAAGAGAAGAAGAGAAAAAGAAACAATTGAGCAAGGCTACAAATGAAGAGGTTCAGACTTCTGATTCTGAAGATGGTCCAAATAAAGAAAGCAATGACAAGGTAAAATTCAAAAATTTAGTGTTAGGATTAGATTTAACCTGTTAAGTAGTCTTCTAAAGAAGAAACCTAAGCATTATGTCTGAACAATATGAAAAGATGACAGTTCTTTTATGTATAGTTTTAATGATTATTGAAGAAGATAGTAGTTGTGTGTTTGGACTCACCTTGCTAATCCATTTTTCAAAGCGGAAGTTTTTATTGGATGGTCAAAACATTCCTTGTTTGTTGTATTTGAACAGTCCCGGCTATAGTACCTAATAATCATCCATGCTTTCTTTGAATGAAACTCATGACTTTAAACAAGTGTTTTGGAGTCTAGAAGTTAGTCACTTATACAGTGTGGTAAACCAGAGTAATCATAAGCCATAACTTATCTACTTTGTCTTTTTGTAATAGTTTGTGGGTTCCACTACTTGTGTGTCAATTGAGTTAATGTTGCAAGAACTTGTACAAAGTAGCCATTGAATTATATCAAATAGTCATGAAGTGCGGAGGTCTTTTATTCCTGCACCTGACATGCATGATCATGTGCGTGTCTACAGTGCATTTCTTCTTTGGTACTAGATGCAAGGCAGCTCACTTAATTTGATTCCCCACGTAACCTATCTAGAAACGGGAAGTTATTTGTCCTCCACCTTACTAATAGAAGAAAGACAATCTAACGGATAAATGTAAAAGGGGTATTTCATGAAACGCAAATGGCACTTGCTCTAATTTGTTATACTTAGAAATGAAATGATAATCATATCCATTAATTAAATCTACTGTTAGAATGGTTCATTCTTTGTTATTGTATTGAACGTTATACATTATGAACAAGTACCAAACATGAATGTGACAGTTAGTGAACATTAGGTTGTCTAGTTGTATTTAAATCTTGTTTAAGTTTTGCATTTGGAACTGATTTAGAGGTTATATCAGGGGGAGGAGGTTCTAGAAGAGGTGTATGCTTCTAGTGTTGGAAAAGAGCTTCCAAATGATCCTCGACCAAGGAGAAGCAAGCGATCTAAAAGGAAGCGTGCCGTATAAAATGACCATATACTGATTAAGTTTGTAATTCACGGTGAGTCCCGTATATCTCAGCCAAGTGTATTGTAGTTAATATATCACCAGCTTTATGCTGGCTCATTATTTTTTAGGTATAATGAAAATCTGCTAATTACTTCTCATCTACTTAGTCTCTTCATTCCACAGGGTGCTAAAAATGTACTTTATTGTCAGATTTGTTGCATGGACTACCAAGTAGATAAATGCCTTAGAAAAATGGAAAACAGTACGCATGAAGATTTAACATGCTATTAAGGTTTTGCATTATTGTACTTTTCATTTTTGGAAAACGAAGCAAAGTTGTAAGTTTGTATATCAATGCAGCTGGTTTTTCCAATTTAGAAGCTTTAGGCCTGTTTTCATATTTTCCTTTTCATTCTTCTGCAACTTACCCGAGCCATTAGGATGACAAGTTATATTTTGAATGTCTGTCCTTTGAACATTAAGAGGATTGATCGGGTAACTGATATGTGTGAACATTTTTCTTGCCTTTTAGTAGTGCCAGGATTAACATTTACGTTAACAGTTCTACTGTAGATTTATATTATGGAACTCCTACACTAACATTTTTGCTCATGCACAAATGCCACAAAAGCTTCTAGAATTCAAATGTTCTAAATCCAATTTTGCACAAGCACATGCCTCAGATGAGAGTTTTTTTGACCTACATGAAAAGTTGAAAACCACTGATCTCCTTCAGGCCTCTAACAAATACAATAATCTAATTAGTTCTACTTGCTAAGTTAACTACGATTGCGTCAAATGTTCATTGCTTTGATGGTGGGCGATGATTCCCTACTGGGTTTGGTCCTGATGGAGTTTTATGGATGTTCCTTCCACTGACCTGTTTTTTAACGTTGAACAAAGATGCAAGGAGTCAAGGTAAAGTTGTTTGGCATTGAGCAAATGAAAGCTAATTGATAAATTCTATTATATTATATACACACCTTAGTAGGCAGACCATATCTGGTTCTTGACCCCAATGACCCTGAACCTGAGGCGGGCTGTGCAGTGTTGAGCTTGAACTGAACTGTGGCCAGCAACAAAGAAAGCTAAATGTATTAAATCTTGAAGGAAACAAGGTACAATCTATTCAGTTGTATTGCATTTTCTTTATACTGATGAATCATGTTCAAATGTTTGTTACATTTTCTCACATTATTTAGAAAGAAAGAAGAAGATAGGCCACCTTTCGTGCCTAGGATTGGTTTATATTGGATAACTCACTAAATTCAAGTTTCGTTGTTGGAGAAACCGAGGCCAACTTCCATACATTGTCTACATAATGGTAACAACATACCTTGAATCTAGTGCATTATCTAGTCCAATCCAATCATAAGCACCAAACGTAGCCGAAGTGTCTTACCTGATTCAATAGCTTGAACATAAGTAGTGTGGTGGTGGTATTGAGAAGCTGCAAGCAGGAGCCAAACCAAGAGAAGATGAGTGGGAGTTTGTCTTCTCATGTTGAGCATGCTAACAGTGAATAGGAATGTTCTAGGATGTCTGGTGTGGCAGGGCTTCTTATAAGCAGGAAGAAGTAATTTTATATGCCACGTAGGCATTGCCCTAATCATATCCAAAAACTTGTGGGAATGTTTTGTTAGAAAGTTGGATGGGAATCCTATGCCATTTTAGACACAGTGAATACACAACATGTAGAAATCTAGGTTGCTTGCTCCTCATTATTTGTTGACTTCTTTGTACTTATGATTGCATCCATGATAGATCTATTGAGTACTCGAAAACCATGCTGTCGGCAACTCCAACTGGGAAGTCCTGAATCATTGTTCTTCTCTCTTTTCCAAGACAAACTTTACATTTTCTTTTTGTCGGGCTTCTCTGTATGCGGTTGAAGACGATGTTTGATAACCATTTCGTTTTTTAGTTTTCAATTTTGAATTTTTTTTTTTTTTTAGTCAGAGACGGAGAAATAAGGGATGGAGAAAAGTGGTATGAGGGATACGGAAAGAATGTACATGAAATAGTAAGAACCTTGAAATCCTTCCTCTGCCCTTCTTCATCTCTCCTTCCTCCCACGTATTTCTCATTTGACTTAAAGAAATGAAAACCAAAAACTAATAACGAACCGAACTAGGAGCTTCCGTAGTCTAAACCCCGCCTGGAGTGAATCACGTGGGTTACAAATGGGTACTTACAAGAAAGCGCAATGAGAAAACGAGATTGCAAGATATAAAGCGCGACTCGTTGCACAAGATTTTTTACAAACACCTGAAATTGAATAAGAGGAGACATAGTCTCCTGTAATAGACGCAATTACGTTTCGTTACTTAATAAGTTTGGTGGTTTCAAAAAAACTTGACATTTGTAAACCATTTGCAATCTCGTTTTAATCTTTAGTCGGTGCTTGTTGTGATGATGATGTTCACCGCACATGGCTATGCCTACAAATGGAAATAAGCATGCGTTTTCGTTTTCTTGTCTGCTCTGATCCGGGAGCTTCAGTAGAGAATGTGCTTTCTACTGGAGTCAATTTTACTCATTTTCATTAAGACCTCTACACTCTACCTAGAAAATCTTTGCAAGAGCAGAAGCACCTGAGAGAAAAAGCACTTTTCATGATGGTGCTTCTGCTGGAAGCCACATAACTCCTAATAATTTATTTCCAAATGAAGATAGGGTGGCTTGTTAAATGTGTCTGGATTCCCAGAACCTAACTATTGATCTTGGGCTCACCCAACTCCTCCCATATGGATTTAACTGTGAAAAGAGCTGCTTAAGGTTTTTATAGTGTCTGCAAAGTTGGAAGGTTTTGTAAAAAGGATAGTATTATTCATATATCTATTTTTACCTCAAACACGTCCTTGTTAATATTGTTAAAATGAGTGTGTGAGAAGCAAATATGGGTGTGTGGATAGCACTGCCCTTGTAAAAATTGGTTGCCAAGAGGTGGAACGTGACGCATTCATCTCCGACAATACTAGCTAAATTTTTGTTATTGTAGCTACCCAAATGATCCAAATATTAATTTGGCTAGCCACCACTTCCAACAATACTAGCTATTTAGCTTTTAAGTTAAAATATTTTTATATTATTTTTTTAGAAAAACTAATGAAAAGAGCTTGAAAACTTTGAGTTTTAATGATAAGGACAAAATAAAGGATAAAGTAAATAGTATCCGGATTGACTTTTTAGTGTAAAAATGTGGTTTTTCGTTAAAATGAACAATACCGTAGGCTTTTCGTTAAAACTCCTATTTTTTTACTAAACTTAACAACCCAAACTCTTTTTCTTCTCATGAAGCCCAATATTTTGTAGTTTTAGTGTTTAGCAAAAAAATTAACTTTCTCTCTCCTCCAAGCTTAGTTTAGTTTGTTACTATTCACAAAGTTACGATAGCTAGTCATTTAACTAGCATGTTAGAATTTGAGTTTTCTGTATTTTTTGTTAAAGTAGCCAAAATGCCTTATTTAGCTAGGTAGGTTGTTGAAGATGCTATTATCACTAACTTTGAAAGAGTAGCGAGATGACAAAACTAGCTTCTTGTTCAAGATGTAGTAGTCTAACTTTGGAACCTAATTGAATCGAATATGGTTTATATTGAATAGTTTCACTACTAAATGCATTGATGTTTTTTTACATAAAACCGTGCATTTGCTAGTACATGCACTTGCAAGTGAAATACTTAACTTCTCTATAGGTATGGCGTATTAGGCCTTAGACCATCTCCAACCCTGACCCTAAATCTAAAAATATTTAGCTCAGAAACTAGTTTTTCTGCTCCAACCATTATGACCTAAAATTTTAGCCTGAAATTATTAAAAAATGAATTTAGGCTTTTTTTCTTTTAAATTAACTATAAAAAAAATTATGTAGACTATCCTAAATTAATTTTATGAATATTTTAACCAAAAAATATTTAAATTCCGATAAATTTTGAAAAATCACTAATTCAATACATGAAAATCATGGTAAACCACATAAACTTAATACAAACAACATTTAATAAACCACATAAATTTAATACAAATGACAATATAAACCATATAAACTTAATACAATCGAAAACTCATAAACTACATAAACTTAATAAGGATATCCACCAACGGTCCAATTTTACCGTTAGATTTAATTATATTTGATTTAAGTCGTTGGATTCAATAAATATATAACTATAAAACTAAGAAAAACATTTGAATGTGGACCGTTGGATTAACCAACGGTCCAATTACCACAGCCGTGCGATGGAGAAAAGTAGCCGTTGACTACAGACAGATTCTGACAAGCCGGGGGACACACCCAAGTGGGTGGGGTCTACCTCGGCTAAATGACTTGCGCGTCTGCACGTGGAGCACGTCTGTTTGGGCGTTTTGGCTTCACAGCCCAGGTTTCAATCACAGAAACTGGGGTCCACTCCAATTTGTAGCCTAAACTTGGGCCGGTATTTGACCCGCACATCAGTTTTAGGTTTTACGTTAATTTTAGGTCATGGGTTGGAGTGGATTTTTTTTGGGGTGTGGGGGAGGGGCGAGGGCAAAGGGGGAATTATAGGTTTTAGCGTAGGATTGGAGTGGGTCTTAGGACGGTGGGTAGGTTGGAGTGGGTTACAATGGAAGAGTATAGAAAATTGACAGAGAAAAAAAAACAAACTTAAGGACACTACTGTTCTTGTGTACTTGTAAGTAGAAAGTCTTCGGTACAACTCTTACAAACGAGTTCATTATCAAATTATTAATGTCAAATGTGTGGTTTAGCTCTTCCTTCCGTACAATAAGGTGCCTAAAGGCGATATTAACATTTACAAATAATTAGTGTCTCATAAGTTGATGGCCCAATTTAAGAAGAGTAGTGTTACACTTATCATTTACTTATACCATTATTTGTATCATCTCTCTAATAGAAGTACGAAGAAATCCAAACATGATCATGAGCAGCTTTCTTGTGGTTACTGAAAGTAAGTAAAGGAGGCTTCTTTATAGGGATGGTAATTCAAAGCGTTAAACCCGATATCCATGGATAACCGTCCGAATGGAATGAATTTGGAGATGAAAACTCACTTATATTTCGGTTATGGGAAAAATCGAAAACATTATTCGGTTGTGGTTATAGTGGTCCCCAATTCGTGTCTCCGAATTCGACCTGAATAATAAATATCATATATATAGTATAATTTATATTGGGTGGTGCTATCCATACTCTCATTTTTACCTCTCACCAACCTAAATAATAAATATTATATATAGTATAGTTTATATAGGATGGTGCTATCCATACCCCTATTTTATCTCACACAAACCTTTCTCAATTTCTGGCTGTCAGATTGAATGAATTGAAAAGGATCAATGGACAAAAATTAACAGCGAACTCATTACCTTGAGATTTACTAAAGTTGCATTTTGTGGGAAAGTTCAAATGTTTTGAATCAAAACCAATGAGAATTCAATCGTGCTTATGAGAGAGATCAAAGATCAGCCAACATCATCAATGTATTTATTATATTATAATGACAAAATTAATATATATTATATTAAAATGCATCTATTGAACGAATATATATTTTTGGTATTGGCGAAGATAATATAGCCGTTAACTGTTGGAGAATCCATTACCCTGTAGGTATTGTTATAGATAATCCCGATGATTAATTTGTGATTATGAATATGGTTAATTTTTGTGGTATGGAGATGGATGTAACATTTTTATCTCCAAACCAAACCGGTGTCATCCTTATTTCTTTATCTTAGCATACATGTATAAACTTTTGTGTTAAAGAAATTATTCTCTAAAACCTTGTTAAAATTCACTTTATGTTTATATGCCATTGTTGGGGGTTTCCGTGTTGACATTTTTGGGCCTCAACTACTATGCATATAAAGGGTTGCAAAGTCAATGTCTAAAATATTTATAAAATTGTTGATATTTTCGTCGAAACATCCAAAAAATCAAGAATTGGTATGAATATCAACGATAATTACAGATTCACTAAAATTTACCAGAACTCATTGCAGATTTTGAACTTTTGCATTTTTTTTGAAAAAATTTCTCCAATTGTGATTAATCTGAATGAGTTAAGCTATCAATTCATTGCAAATTTTCATAATTTTCGTCAAAAAAACCGATATCAAGATTGATATACATTGATACTGTCATATATATCCATATTGATATTTACACATATATCGATATTCTTAACTGGCAAAAGCAAGAAACACATGAAATTTTCACTTAAAAAAGAACACAAAGGATCTTTTTTCCTCGCAAAAGGTTCGAAAAACAGACAAGCGGGCATTGTAGTCTCGTAAATGGTGTTTGTCGTGACCGTCTACCTCGAACTCTATGCATTACTAAAACCCCACCGCTTCGTTGATTGATTCCAAGTTTCCAACCAAGGATTATTACCAGTTTTGAATTTTGAATTTTTGTTTTTCTGTCTTCATTTTATGAAGCAAGATATATTCATTACATTAAAACTAGTACAAGGTTACAAAAAAATAAAAAAGACAAGGTAAACAACTACAGATAAAATAAAATACTTAAGCAAAATGAGAGCTGTAATCCAAGATACAACGGGAGGCCCACACAAGTTTAGGCTCGAAGATTGCAAAAGCAAACAACAAAAAATACTAATCTCCAGCAGCATAAACCACACTGTTGCCGTCATCATATCCTTGGAGGAAGCCAAACTCCGAACCAAGAGAGTAGACATCAGATCCAAGTCCCCTTCATGGATCCCTGCAAATATATACAACAAAGTATCTTATGAGTAGAGAGTGAGGCTAAGGGGCTATGTAAAATACCCAACACTTGGCCTCGTTGGGAATTCGACATGCCGACTTGGGGGGGGGGGGGGAATGAAGGAGGGAAGTGAATCTAATATCTAATTTCTGATCGGAACCCGTTGATCCAAACATATGGTGGGACGAAGTTGAAGTGTCACAGCTAGGGAAGATGGAGGAAGGAAAACTAAAAGACAGAAAGCAGTAAAAGCAGACGAAAAATGTCGGATAAAGGGCATGAAGCCCAAATCTAAGACAAGGTCGAGGGATAATTGAGGTCCAGCTCAGGGAAAACTGAGATAAAATGCAGGAAGAACCGAGAATGAAAATGAAGGAAAGAGACTAGAAAGGGGGAAGGAAGAAGATGTGGATGCATGGAGGGAAGGGGAAGGGGGAGAGGAGATGAGAGGGGAGGAAAAGGAGGGGTAGTGGCTGCCGCCTATCCTGAGCAAGAGCAAAGAACGGCGACTGAAACTTGAAACATGGGGATGCTTCTAGATTTGGGATTTGAAGTTAATAGAGAGATGCATTTTCAAATCTTTATACTCTTTTCAACCAAAAAAATAATCTATTTAGATATATGGTATGACCGTATAACGGAATCAAATATTTTTCAAGGGCAATGCTAGGAAGACTAAATTTGTAGACAAAATCTTGGAAACTACAGAACATAAAAGTTAATAATTGGTTTATTACTTAAACGTTGATAAACGTGCTTATTTTTATTAGTGACGAATCATTTAGTTTGCAACCAAAGAAACAATTTGACAACAAACTCTATTTTCCAAAGAAAAATCAATCAATTTATATATTAATTTTATATGATACATGCATTATGCATCTCATATCAATTATGTAAACTACCGAATTATATTTTGGACAAAAATTTATAAACTTTGTAGGCTCATGGAGATCCACTCTAATATCATTGATATTGTCTCAACTTAACCATCTTTTACTAAGTGTTAGATTTTATTGCAAAATGCTTTGATAATATTAGGACTAAACTTCTATATATTAGTTGTATATTATTCTATTAAATGACCGATGTACGATCATATTCACCAACAAAAATCTACTCATACTATATAACACATAGATAGTCACGCCACCTAACGAGGTAACGTCACACTAGCTTCCTATATCCTTTGTTTCTAGTTATTTACCTACAATTGGTTATGATTGTAAACGACACATTATAAAAGGTTTTATTTTTATCAACGACTGAAAATCATCTAAATTTCGGGCCAATAGTTTTGTGCATCTGCGGACGGCTTGGTGAGTCGTAGCTAAACATGACATCCGTTCCTTGAAGTATGCATTGCAGTGGATTAAATCCATCAAATTAGAATGCATATGGGTTAAATAGGAATGGTATAAAGTATTAGTACGTAAATTGAAAAATGACAAGTCTTTTAAACTTGAATTTCTATTTCTTTGTTAAATAATTCAAAATTGTTATTCATTTCTTTTTACTTGGAAATTTTAAGGAGAGATGAATAACCTAGGGATGTCGACATGTCCGACAATTGGCAAGTTCTAGTTCATCCCCAACCAGTAAAAATTCAAACTTAGTTTCAAGGTCAATGGTGGTCCTCCATCTCCCTTAAGCTTATAGATATCTGTAGTTTCTGACCATTACGGACTCCTGAATTATTTAGAATAATTGATGGAAGAAATTATATTTTTACCAGATAAATTGACCTAGCTAATGGTAACTTTTTTTACCTAGCTACTGGTAATTTTCTTTTGTTCAATTTTATAAAATTATTTTTAGGGTTTTAGATTTTTATGTTGTATTTTGACTTGTTGGTTACAGTTTGAGACGTTATTTCTGTTGGTTTTTGAGTTTGTAAATTATACTAGGATTGCTGGGTTGGTGAGGTAATGGCTTCATCTGTTTGGGGTTTTTCAAGATTTGATTTAAGTTTCTTAATTTCTCTTGTTTAGTTACGCAGGATACATCTTATTCAATCTCCTTGTACTATTTTATGATTTAACGGTGCACTTTTGTTGATGATACTCATTGCTATTATATTTGGTGAACTGCCATCAGTTTCTGTAATTCAAGGATTGAATAACTTACACTGGTATGTCACCGTAATGATATCCCAAGTCATTTACGACTGTCGAGCATTTTAATTTTTTTACACAACAATATGTGATTCGGTCATCACTTTTTGCATTTTCTGCAAGGAGTGTGATATCTACACACCCTATCTTACTTCTCACACATTTTTTTAATTTTCGGCCGTCGGATTAGATGAATTGAAGAAGATCAACGGCATAAATTATCAAGGGATGTGTGAAAAGTAAAATGGGGTGTGTGGATAGCAGCACCATTTCTGCAGACTCCGTAAAAATTCTCGTAAAAAATAGTAATCTTTCTTATGCATGAGCGGCTATGAAATAGAGCGAAAGCCGTTGTATTAGGTCAATGAGGCACCAAAAATCAAGTAAAGACTGATGTTTATAATGTTTTAAGCCAACAGAAGTAGAGAAAAAAACCGATGCATTTACTAAAGAGGGATATCAAAGTTTTTGTAAATTGTGATGCTATAAGCCTCTTTAGCTACAGAGAATGACCGATGCCTTTTCTATCATATATATATATATATAATTGTTGCTAAAGACCATTTTTTAAGTAACGTGAGACTATTACAATGGCAATGCGTTGTCACTTTTAAGTGGTCGGTTCCTTATATATAGTTGTTTTTTGAGCTCGAAAGACACGAATATGTAATATGTGACTAATCTGAAAAAACATGAAAAGCTTTTATTTGTGCTTCTGTGTATGGACGACTAACATAGCTGAACATCATATCATTCACTCCAAGTATGCACGCAATCGATAAAATTGATCAAAATACGCATGTGGATATGGGTTAATTAGGAATGTTGAATTGAGAGAATTGACACTTGGCAAGTCCCAGCTCATCTCTATCCACAAAATTCAGACGATGTTATAAGGGTAGACGGAGGTTCTATATCGAATACTTTTACCATGTTAAACGAATGCATGCTATAAAATACTTGTCCTATATAATCCTGCTATCTCTGTTCTCGTTTCTGAATTCTGACCAATACAAGACTCCCGAATTAACTTAATAAATCCTATCAAAATATTGGAAAGACGAATGAGGATCCTCTTCGGATTCTCTTCGTGAAAATTTCAAAAATCTTTTAATCATATAAGCTCTTTGTATATTGTGTGGGTAGTTTTCGTTAGATACTATTTATATTTAATTTTAAATAAAAAAATTTATAATAATTTCTTATTATACAATTTTCGATGAAGGGATGTAATTGAATGATCATCTCACTCCTCACAAAAAGAATCCGATAAAGATGCTCATCCCTAATACTAAGCTTGTACGTACTGTGCATTACAAGAACCCAGAAAAAGCATGCTCCACGAACCTTCTGACACACCGAACCCTAAGGGCAATTTCGTCTTTCCATTCCTATATGGCCCCCATATCGGTCTATGCCATTTCTCTATAAAACCCACCCAAAACCCTACACGTTTTCTCACACACGTTTATCCAGAAAACCAAAAGAAATGGCTCTCTCCCGCTCTTACCTTCACTCCCTTCCGCTCCTCTCCGCCACCACATTCCTCATCCTCTCCGCCGTCGTTCACGCCAATTACCCTTCATCCTCCATCCTCACTCTCGTCAACAACTGCCCCTTCCCCATCTGGCCCGCCATCCAGCCCAACTCCGGCCACCCCGTTCTCGAGCGCGGCGGCTTCTTCCTCAACGCCCTTACCCACCGCTCCTTCCCCGCCCCCACCCAGCCCTGGTCCGGCCGCATCTGGGCCCGCACCCACTGCACCCAAAACGGACCTCACTTCTCCTGCCTCACCGGAGACTGCGGCGGCCGCCTCGAGTGCAACGGAGCCGGCGGCGCCACACCCTCCACCCTCGCCCAGATCAGCCTCCACCACGGCGGCCCCGCCGACCTCTACTCCTATGGCGTCAGCCTCGTCGACGGCTTCAACGTCCCACTCACCGTCACTCCCCACGAGGGCCACGGCGTCTGCCCCGTCGTCGGTTGCAAGGCCAACCTCCTCGCTACGTGTCCCGACCGACTGAAGGTGACGTCACCGAAGGGCGTCGTCGCGTGCAAGAGCGCGTGCGAGGCGTTCGGCACCGACGAGTTGTGCTGTCGGAACCACTACAACAGCCCCCAGACGTGTCGGGCTTCGGGCTACTCGCAGTTCTTCAAGCAAGCGTGTCCCACCACCTTCACGTTCGCCCACGACAGCCCCACGCTCATGCACCAGTGCTCGTCGCCACGCGAGCTCAAGGTGATCTTCTGTCACTAGACAGCGAGAGAGAAGGATGATTCCTACTTCCAAGTAGTTCAACTTGGAGTTAAGTCCGTGTCTCGGTTTTTAATTATTTAAATAAAAATTAGGATTTAATGGGGTGAAATATCAGAGAAAAAAAGGGAAAAGAGGTCTAATTAGTGCGGTTTAATTAAGGTAATGTGTGTTATGGGGTTACCCTAGGAAAAAAAAATGTGTATTATGGGGGTGTATGAGGATGGTTTGGTTGTGTAATTTGTGTGATGTTAATGGATGGTTACGGAATGGTAGTGTTTTAAACATAGCTCTGTTTACTTACAAGTTTTAAATTCGATTTTTTATAAAGATAAATTTGAATTACATTGTTTATTAAAATAAAAAAACATAATATCCCTTGCTTTTTTTGTTGTAAAAAAAGTGTTGCCACAAGGAAAAAGAAAGAAAACAATTGAGGGACTTCTTTTTTTTTTTTTTCCCTATAAAACAAGATATATATCATAATTTTGACCGTTCAAATAAGGGAATATAAAAGGCAAGAAAAAGAGGGGCTTGCTCCATCTTAAGGATTTTACTAAGGAAAATAAAAATCTTTGTGATCTTATAAAAGAGAGAACCTAGTTAAACACAAAAGGTTCGAATATTTTATTGAGGAAATTATTGTTAATCGACTTCATACTGCTGGACCTAGTTAAACATAACGCGCGATCGACTTCATAACGCACGCTAGTTCTGCATTATGAAGATTAATCACTAATCAACGTACAATGAGTTTTGCATAGTAATTGCATGGTATAGTCATCCAGTACTACGGTCGGTTAGTATTCTTCTTCATTTGTGAGTGATAAATTTTACATTCGAATATCGTAGATGACGAATTCGATATCAAATTAGATTGTTCATTGTATGGTTTAACCGAACATTTTCCTCTCTTGAGTGTAAAATATATTGTTGTACTAAAAAAAATTGCATGGTACAAATCACTAAATCAAAAAACCAACAACGTTAGTATATAAAGCGATTAAAAAGCTAAATCGATTGATAATCTGTACGTGATTAAGTTAATTAACAATGTTCAAGGATTAACAGCTTTCACTTCTTTTTGTTTTGGTCCAAAAGTTAATTAGTGGGAGTTTAACAATGTGCAGGGTTTGTGACAATTAAGGCATCTTAAACGGACATATATAAGTTAATTAGTGGGAGTCTAATATGCTTTTTGTTTTTGTTTATTTTAAGCTTTGGAGAGCTTAACTAATAAGTTAAGTCGAGAGTGATAGGAAGAACATTCATTCGTATTATTTAATAGTAAGCAATTAGAGACTAACCCAGAAAATAAAAGGTGATCAAAAGTGGTAAAGCTGTATTAAGAGAGAGTAAAGACGATAATAATAATAATTTACGGAAAAAAAAGTTGGACTTGCAATTTGCAAAAGTAAATAAAAGCAGAAGCAGATCGTCCGGAGGAGGCCGAAGGATCGTTCAAATGTTCCATCTTTAGAAAAAGGAGTTCGATTCTGTGGGGAAGATCTGATGGGTGCAGGAACCAAGGGGCACAGGCTTACAGATATATATAGCCTCTGAAGAAAAAGAAGGAAAAATAAAAAAGAAAGAGAAATGGTGAGCCTTTTCAAGCCACACAAATCTTTTGCTTCTTTTTTGCTCGAAATTTACCCATTGTTTATTTTCATCATGAGGCAGTGTGCTATCATGGGTAAATGTTTATCCTTTTGCTTTATTTGAGTTCCCTGCTTTTGTTCTACGTGGATAACAATGGACAGATAAAATTTGTAACTTAAATTTTATAAGTTAAATAATATAAAAGTTGTTAATTGAATTATTATTTAATTGTTGATTAATGTGTTTATTCGAAAATACAAAAGTTATAATTTAATGATTGAAAAGTCTGAAGCACTTTTTTTTTTTGTTTTTTTGTTTTCCATGAAGAAATAAGATTTAAATTAAAGAGAAACTTATGTGACACCCAAGGCTTCGAGAATCATACAAGAAAGCATTTTTTGCTTGGGGAAGAACACACCCTCTGAAACATATAAATTAGTATAGTTATGCCCAAGGGAAGTGATAGCATTTGTTGTGAAGTTTGCTTCCCTGTAAGCATGATTCCATTCTATCAGCTCAAATGATAAGGCAAGGCATATAACGTCCTCAACAATGGTCCTAATTTTGCACGGTACTGCACACTTTCTTGCAACTGCATCAATGACAATCTTTGAGTCCCCGTCTACCACAATTTTCCTGAATTAACGATGGTTGGCAAAAGCTAGAACTTCCACCATGGTGATAGTGTTTGCCCTAAGATGACAAGCCCCGCCAAAGAGGGTTGCCCTTGATGATTTCTGATAATAAAACCCTCCGCAGCAGAAGAACCCTCCACTAACCCATCAAAATTAAGTTTATCGAAGCCTTATGCATGAGCTTTCCAATTAATGGTGTTGACTGAGATCTTACTCTTGCTTGGTTCCTGTTTCATAATAGCATTCAAGAAATCTTTGCCAATTGAAGCCGCAACAATTAGACAACGAGTTGGATAAGGTTTAATTTGTTTAAAAACAAAATTAATTATATCATTCCATATTTGCTAACAAAGAATTAGTATTTTACTAATATCAGAAAGATCATCTTTATCTAAAGTTGTCATCCCTATTAACCAATCATTCATATTGGTAATAAAGGGGTGAAGACAGATTATTACAAAGTTTCCAAACTTCTCGAGCATAAGTATAGTAAACAAAACGGTGTAGTTGATCCTCCTCTACAATATTACATAAAGGGCAAAGAGTTTGACCATTTGGGTAATACTTAATCTCCTATACGTGGACAATCTATTTCTTATAAGCAACCAAAGCAAAAAACTTAACTTTATGAGGTATATTAAGTTTCCACTTTCCTTTGTAAATCTTTGAAAGGTTTAATGTGAGCATCATTAATTTGATCCAAGTAGCGGATTTAATTGAGAAATTTCCATTAGTAGACAGTCCCGAGATAAACTCATCCTCATTTAATGGCATAAGGAAGGCAAAAATTTTATTTGCCACATTGTAAAGTCTAGTCTTAATGTTTAGCTTTCCTTGTCAAATATTGCATTTGTGTACCACATGCTCAATTTAGTTTTAGACTATATTCTCTGATTATGGGCTACTGTTGTTGGGATTAAACGATCAAAGATGTGGCTCACTTCACTTCAGAAGGTTTGATCATGCATGTGCATTTCACATCTATATTGCTTGCTGCTTTCCAACTAGCTGGGCATGCAAATTAAGAGTTGCCCACATGAGCTTCCAGACAACTTTCTGCTGATGGTCAAATCTCAGCCCTTAATCTTTTTCTGATTAGTTTGTCTTACGACAAGTGTCCTTGGTAGGTGAAAAACAAACTGATGCTTTTGGGTTAAGATCCCAAATCTAGGGTTCTTTGTTTTTGGAGGTTTAGAATTTATTTTAGAGAGAGAGTGCTTTCAAAGCTTTGAGCTTTCTTCTTCTTCATTTATGGAACTCTAGCTGCAAAATCAGCTTTATGCGTTAAACATCCAATGATTGTATATTAGGGTTGCATTGTTTTAAGGTTTTGCATTAGGTTCTTGGTCTGATTTTAAGCTTTAAGTCCATTTTTAGACCAAACTTTTAGACTCAAGTAAGATTCTTCCTTCAACTGTTTGACTGAAGAATCTGCCTAGTCGTTTGAATTTCGATTTTATATGCATATCATAACATCTTATCATTTCGTAATTTGAGTTTATATTGGTGCCACAAGGTGAAGAGCCCAGAAGGAGCTGCCATTTAGTGAAGACCGAAATAGTTCATCTCGTGTAAATCAATGTTGCACAAAGGTAAATCTGCTCCGTAGATAGGGATCTAAGAATTGAGCTTGTGTGGTCTTTGTAAGAATCTTATTTACACTAATGGATTGGACTCATTGGAGAGCCCCCGGTTTTTTAACACATAGGTGAATTTTTCTTGCCAAAAACATCCCATGCAATTTATCGCTTTTCTAGTTTACTTATCTTATTCTTTGCTTGTGATATATGTTCATCATTATTTGTAAATAGATAAGTCTATGCAACTAATATTGTCAAAGTTAAAATGTGCACTGAATTGGATTTTAGTTAACTAGGAACACTTTAGTAAACTGAGCCTTGAATTGACTATTTCTGCTATGAGTAGACTAACATATCTGATCTTAGTTGATGAGTGTTGCTGACTAGTCAGACAAACACGTATATAGATTTTAAATTGTAGGTTATTCCATCTGGTACCAATTTCAATTGGTATCAGAGTTTTGCTCTAGATATACATCGAGTGATCTATGGGAGCTACTAGTAGTAGGCGGAATCTTGCAACTCTCCTCCATTCTTTGATGTTACAAATTATGCCGCTTGGAACGAGAAGTTTCAAATCTTTTTTTAGGCTCAAGATCTCATTGCTGTTGATTATCTCACCCTTGAGTGGAAGACTCCATCAAGACTAGTCAATGAAGAGTTTGTGATTAAGAAAAAAGGTGAATTGACTCAAATAGAAATTGCTTCGGCCATGGTTAATAGGAAAGCAAAGAATGCTATTATTTCTGCCATTTCGTCTAATCAGTTTGCTCATGTTCGATATTGCACAACTGCCAAGTAAGCTTGAGACAAATTCCTAATTCTTCATAAGGGTGATAAACGAGTGTGAGAAATAAAGCTCTATATGACTCTTTCAAAAATTGAGAATGCTCAAATCTGAAACCTTTCCGCCTTCTATAAGAAAGTTGAAATGTTGACAAATAAAGCTTTAAGATTAGAAAAATCTATTGATGAAACAGTTCAAAAGATTTTGAGATCTGAAATTCTAATTTCCGGCAAGAGAAAAAAAAGGTGCTAAGCAACAATCCCTGACGGTGGTCCCCACAAGCGATACCGCAAATCCTAGATCTGAGCGGTAAATTCACACCCTCGCGCAGAAGCTACTAGAACTTCCTTTCACGTTGACCGGCACCACACCTTTCCACGTGGCACCACATGAATCGCCGTTTACCGACCCCATCACAAGATACGCGTAGACGATCACAACCAGCTCGGCGCCCGCACTAAAGAGGGAGAGGCCGCATTCGGAACCTTCTCTGTCTATAAATACACGCAAGTGTCGGCTCAAGAAATCTCTCGATCTTTCTCTCTCCTCTCTCTTTCTCTCTCTACACCGTCGCGGGAGAGCTCCACCGCCGATTCATGGCGGCGACGCAGGCGAGTCTTCTCCTCCAGAAACAGCTCAAGGGTATTTAGAAAGATTTGGATTCAGTCAATTTGTATTGATTCCGATTGTTGATTGGTTTACCGGATTGGGTTTTCTCCGACCTATTTGATTTTTGGCCGATTCTGATTCTTTAATTTTGTTTTGGCAGATCTTTGCAAGAACCCGGTCGACGGATTCTCGGCCGGTCTGGTCGATGAAAACAATATCTTTGAGTGGAGCGTCACGATTATCGGACCGCCTGATACGCTCTAGTAAGTGCCTTTTCGGATTCGTTTCCGGCTCAATTTTATGGTTTTATTGATTGGGTTTTGTGGTTTAGCGCATAATAAGATAGTCGATTTCAGTGTTTTTATTATGTTTTTATGCTGGATTGGATCAAAGGTGATTTAAATTCTTGGGCTTTCAATTTGATTGTGGTTTTCCTAAATTTTGTGTTTGACTTTTAGCTGAGGTGACGAATTTAGGGTTTTTGTCCAATGAAGGTGGTACGAGCTCGCGAAATTGTTTTATTTCAAGCTAGAATTTGTTAAAGTTTCATATTTAAAAAAAGTTGTTTAGTTTGGTTTTAAGGGTATGTGAAGGCAAAATTGAGGTCTTTTAATCGGTTGCACATTGTTAGGTTGGAAATGTTTTACAAATTTCCTAAATTTGGGAAGTGTTTTTATAAATTGGGGAAATGTTTTACAAATTTCCTAAATTTGGGAAGTGTTTGTTGTTTACATTATCTCGAATAGCAACCTATTTTGTTGGTTTGTTTTATTACTAGTATGGATGAGAATATCTTCTTCTGTTTTCACTAGTAAGCAAAGCATTAATTTAAGAAGTTTCGCTCACTTGAGATTTGTTGTGTCCATATCATATTCTTCACTATGCATCATCCTATTGAAGCTCATCACTACATGTTATCTAATTGCAGTGAGGGGGGATTTTTCAATGCCATCATGAGCTTTCCAAATAATTATCCGAACAGCCCTCCGACGGTTAAGTTTACTTCCGAGATATGGCATCCAAATGGTTGGTTTCAGTCCTAAGTTTTGGATAATTTGCACTTGTTTTTCGAGTACTGATCTTGGCTACTTTACATATGAAGTTTATACTGATGGGCGTGTTTGCATATCTATTCTTCACCCCCCTGGTGAGGACCCAAATGGTTATGAGCTTGCAAGTGAGCGCTGGACACCTGTCCATACGGTATGGAATTAGTTTAAAATAGTGTCCACATATTGCTTCATTTGTAGGAAAGAGCATCTGTTGCATGGTAGGAATTCTTGATTCAAAGATTGTCTTCACAATGTTCATGTTGATACCTATGATCTCGTTCCTTGTGTAGATAGCTTGTTCGGAGATGGATGGGGAATTTTCAGTTTTTCCGTATGCTAGTATGAAAATAAAATTAAATAGACAAAAATTGAAAAATAAAATTGAATAAAGTATGTAATAGTCCCTTGTTTAGCCAGTACAAAATGAACAAGGAACTATTTGTGTATCCAGTAAAATATGCCATTAGCATGCTTTAGAAAACAAAACTAAAGGAATGTTAAATATGTATTTAAGCCAAAGTAATCATATAACAGATGATATAATAGTAATTTGAGTCAAATTTGATCAATGACTCATAATTCCATTCATTTGTGATCACTTGGTATTATTTCAGAATGCTACTACAATTAAAAAATGAAAATTGATATGCTTGAATATTACTTTTTGTCGCCAACAAAAACAAGAAGTACCCTTCTCAATGAGGAGATAACTTGTTGCATACATAAGATCTTAGATAATCACTCTGAGGCTTTCACCAGTGACATTAAGCCGCACTGGGGTCCCAGTTTGAAGTGAATCCTCGACCAGGTTTAAAACAAAGTAGATAAAGTGGGAAAGGTCAGTTACAGAGGGATCCAAGAGAACGGGGGTTGGATTATGACTGGATTGTCTAGTTGACTTTGTTGCCTTTGGACAATGAAAGGAGTAAATGGGGACTGCAGAGTTAAAGAAGGGACATGAGTGGCTATGTTGCAGAGTCAATTTTAAAAGGGGAGAGAGTGAGAAAGATTGGTGATAGGGGAGAGAAAGCATGGTAGGCAGATGAATTTGAGTTTGAGGAGGAAAAAACATAACATGGAAGAGAGTCTATTTGTCCTAACATGGTTATGTTTTATTTTATTTTATCAAATGTGCAGTTGTTCAGACGTAACAAAGTTGGTGGGATTAGAAATTGGCAGCTTAGTGAGGGTGATGGTTCCAAAATTCATCTTTTATCGAAAGAGTTGGGTGTAGCAGATAGTCTAGAAGTAATATTTATAAGCGGGGGCATTTTTTTTTTTTTCCTCCAAAAGTCATGACCCCTTTTAGGGTCTATATGACTGGCTTTGATTTCGTAACAGTGGACATAATTTTGTTCCATATAATGCAATTACATTTATTTCTTAACATTTTTGTTTTCTTCAGCTGGCTTGATTGTTGTGACAGTTATATATCATCATGCGATTATTATGTTTACTTTTTGCCTAATAGATAGGAGCAGATTCTCTTTTTGTTCGGTTAACATTCATTCCAATATTCATAATATATTGTCAATAAGTGGAAATCATGGAGCTTCATTCAAACTCCTCAAATTACAAAGCACATTCTCAGAGAAAGTTTTTGGTTTATTAGGAATTGTGAATGTTGCATGTAATGCAAGTTATAGACCTATATAGTGTCTCGTCCACATGGTAGAGTTTTTGGTGGCATGACATGTATCACACCTCCACTTGAATGCTAAAAATGTTGTGTGTATTACATGACTCCTTTGCAGTGGGAGTGATTTCTCCTCTCTCATGGGTATCATTAGAGTTGAAGAGAAGGCATAATTTATGAGATTTTATGCAGTCGTCAGATCATTATTAATACATCACATAGATCTACAATCTATCATGCCTTGTGCCTAACAACCTAAGGCTCATCTTAAGGTTCAATAATATGGCTTTGATGTCTGACCTTGGGGCTCTTCCACTGGATCTCGAGTCCGGAGGAGCTTGTCTCAGTGGTATCACATCCTGCTGTCATTTGGCAAGTTCTCATATTTCCTTCCTGCTGGTTAAAACTTGTGGTTTTTCCCCGTTATAATTTTTGTGAAAGAACTTGGTAATCTAAGGTATTTCTGAAGCAAAAAGTAGGTGTAAGAAGCATTTTCTCAAGGGATACGTTTAGCTCTATTTTTATTAAAACCATGGTACTGCATTTACAAATGTGGAAATGTTGTTTCCAGGTTGAAAGCATAGTCTTGAGTATAATATCAATGCTATCCAGTCCAAATGATGAATCTCCTGCAAATGTTGAAGCTGCAGTAAGTGATCCTTTATTTTATTGTCACAACTCATTTAGTTTTCTGAACTACTATAGTTGATGCTGAATGTCATAAACATGCCCCCACATTGACAGCTAAAGTTATATTGAGAAGCAATATATCTCCATTGCATGAGTTTTTCATATGCAAGTATTCTGAGGTTGTGCCGTTGTGAATATTGCAGAAGCAGTGGAGAGATCGGAGAGAGGAATTCAAGAAAAAGGTCAGTCGCTGCGTGAGGAAATCACAGGAGATGCTATGAAATTATCAAATATGATGTTTGCTACCAAGTTGAACATTTTCTCTGCACAAGCGTGTGAGAGGAGGTGTGAATTGGCAAAAACGTTTGCCCTTGTAGAATTTCATTGATTTTCTCACCCAAAATATCTTTATTTCTTTTTGCTTTTTTTTTTTCTGTTGGTTTCTTCTTCTTCTTCTCTCTTTTTCTTCTCATTGTCTAGTAATTGTTAAAACATGGAACATCTCTGTATTCAATTATCCGGTTCCTTGGTTGCCTTACATTTGGTTTTGCTTGATGGATTGGATTCGAGCTTCATGTCGTTTTCAATTTCAGTCGACAATGTGGGACCATGATTTCGCGAATTTGGTTCCAACAAGTATCATCGTGCTGGTTTAACTCTTATTTCGCAAACAAAATTATTAGCTTCTTCTTGCCCGTTTGCGTGCATTTCACGTGGACGCACATGTATAAAAATGGTGGATGTCCATGCAAATGGATGTTCTAGTATGTACTGAGGTATGTTACTGAGACATGCCTTCAACTCTTGGAGTAGTAAAAATTTAGCCTTTGAGCTTTAGGTTCTAAATCTACTCTGCCTTGCTCTAATCTTGGGGTCAAAAATGAATTTTTAATTCAAAACTCGTTTTCTGAATCAAATTTAGATCAGGATTTCCATTCAAGTTAGCGAGTTAACCCACTGTATATTTATATTTTTTTTAGTTCTATATTTATAAACTTATTGAATCTAACAGCTAAGATCTAGTATGATTAAATCTAATGATATAAAAAAGATTCAATGCTCCAAATTTAAATCTAATGACTAAAATAATTTTATAAAAACCTTTCATGTGTTCCATATTCTTTCATAGTGTTCCACTAGTTTCATTGTATCGATTTAGTGATTTTTTTAATATTTATCGAAATTTAAATATTTTTAATTAAAATGTTTATAAAATTAAATTAGAATAGTTTACATAATTTTTCTTTTAAAAGATACTTTAAGAAAAAAAAATTCTCAAATTCATTATTTAATAATCTTAAGCTAAAAGTTTTTTGACTCAAATAAATTTTCTTTAATAATTTCAGTTTAAAATTATTTTTACTTTAATAAATTATTTTTTAATAATCTCATACTAAAATTTTCGAACTCAAGTAAGTTTTCGGGCCAAATTCCTTGTTTAAATTAGGATTGTTTATATGAAGGCCCTTGCAAATAAGTTTTCGGACTCAACTGGGAAATGACATACATGATGTACATAACGGAATAGGTTCCTCTCCAGTTCTTTTTTGTGCAGATCTAGAGGATCAATCAATCGTGTCTATTCATCGTACATCGTGCGGTTAAAAATTATTTTAAATTTTTAAATTTAAAATTAAATATAAATAGTATCTAACGAAAATTAACCGCACGATAAACGATGAACTGACACACTTAATTGATCCCGGATCCCCACAAAGATGATCCGGAAAGCAAGCAAGCTACCAGTTGGAAGTAAACACACGACTCGTTTATCCCAGTAACATATTGCAGATTTCATTTATTCATGATTATCTCAGTAACATAAAACTGGGAAAAAAACGTATTACAGATTCATTTATTCATGATTATCTCAGTAACAGGATCACTGCTTTTTTGGTGGATTGACATAGCTTCCCAACCTCGCCACGATCCCATAAAGATCTCTTACGTACCCCACTTTCTGTCCCCACTCTCTCTCTTCCGGCTGGCTCACCGGCACCGCCCCATTCTCCACCGCCCTCTGCTCAATCCCAATTTAAACAACAAAAAAGGAATAAATAAAAAATAGGGAGATTTTGAATGCAGTCTGTAGCTATGAATATTCTTTAACTGAAACCTTGATTTTCAATTTTTGATCGAAGTGAATTAAAAAAGAATGTAGCCATATAAATTTAAAAATAAATAATTAAATAGATTTTATATAAAAAAAATGGCACATTTTACGTATAACAATTGGTATATTAAAGAATGAGTACATTTTCAGATTAAAATTTGAAAAAATTACATGAATAGGTACATATAAGATTAAAAATTGAAAACATTTTTTTTAAAAGCTAATAGGTACAAACTTATTCTAATTTTTTAATTTATTTTTGAAATGTTTTGAATTGAAAATTAGTTAGGAGTTTAATAAAAGTGTGAGTATTAAAATTCTAAATCAATTATTAATTTTTATTTAAAAAAATTATGTAACTGACATGTAAATTCATTATTACATTAATGCTAGAAACTTGGATCAAAATTTAAAAACATTAGTAACTAGTACAAATAAAAATATCAATCCTTAACTCCGCGCATGTTCAGAAATAACTCATTAAAAAGACTAAACAATCCAATAATTTATAAACGCATGTCAACCTGTGAGTTTTCTAACACTGACAAAAACAAGATAGGTTAAGGCAGCTAATTAGGATTTTAGCTTGTAGGCAGCATCAACGTCAAGGTATGCAAAGCAAACCTCAACCGGCTGCCTCTTGCGGCCGGAGGTTGGGGGTGTGGACAGCACCCGTCAGAATATCGGTCGCGTGCTGTCGTAGCGGCGTGAACGCAATAGTGGTTTGCCCGCTTTCCAACTCCCCCCATCTATCAACAATATCATCATCATCATAAATCATTAAATTTCGTCTTAATTATTTACGACACCTCTGTATATACAGTTAATAAGTAAATAACAAATAATTGAAACGAGAAAAAATGTGTGTGCAAATTCATTCCCTAACTATTTTTGCACCTGTTAGAGCCGTCCAAGCGACGAATATTGTAGCCGAAGGCTTTGGAGTAGAAGGCGGTGGATATAGCCACGTCCTTCACGTACACCACCGTGTAGGCAAACACTGTGTTCATCTTCAACGCCGACGCCATCTTCTGTTTTTTTTTTTTTTTTTTTTTTTTTGTTATTGATTGAATTAACTGCTTCGTTTTGATGCGTTTGATTTCATTAGTTTCAGTTTCAGATTAACCGACTCTTAGATGTACGTGGCGAGTTGTCGGGATTGGATATGCGGCACGTGGAGTCTGTGCATGTTGAACAAAAGGTGCTGTCGCGTGATCGGTGATTCAGTGTGAATGGCGACGAGGGCCAAGATTTGTTTGTTCCTTGACATGCAAGGGCTCTTGACGGTATTACAAGTTACAAGAAAGGTATTTTCACCAAAGTAATGTTGAACAAAGTAAAATATATTTTTGTATAAAAAATTTAGAGAAAATTCTGAGTGGACTCATTTCACTGGTCTAGGACATTGCAACTGAAGAGGAGGAACCTTATGGGGAAAGTGACAACGATGGTGGTGGGAGCTTACAGTCATAATGTTGGTGGGGGTCACTACATATTAAATTAGAAAGTTAAGGTACTTTAACTAGTGTAACATATTAAATCTCACCTTGCACCAAGTTTAAATAAGCTAAAAAAGGTTGACGATATTTTATATTAGTTAGAACGGACTGTGCTTGACTATGTACTTGAGTTTAAATTAATTTGGAGCAGAATATCAATAGTCTTTAAAATAAATAAGAAAAGCTACAACAAACAATACAAAAGAAGTAGAGTGGGATACTCAATGAGAAACATTATCCTCATTAACTACCTACGCTTTTGAATTGAAATATCTAGATCTACTTGTAGAGAAATTTTTCAATCTGCAGGAACATGATTAGGTATATTAAGATACAATTGGTTAAATTTTGTTTTTTTTTTTTTTTTGAAGTTTTCAACCAATTGTATTATTACACTTATGTGCGGAGTAGTAGTGTTCTCATCATACTGAAAAATCTCTTCTAGTTGTACCATCTTTTTATAATACCAAGTGTCAAGGCCTCCTCGCTAGTGAAGCCATAAGGCAGTCCTACCACAACATCGTTTGACACTTGATATGCTCGCATGGTAAACTTGTAACTCAAGTCCCTTGAGTGCATTCATCAATCTAGCATAAGGGCAGTCTTGATCCGGACACTGAACTCGAATCCTGGCTTGATTTGATCCCACAATCTTCACATCCACTTCCAAAACATTAGTTCCTCTAACCTTATCATTATTATTATTCAAATTTAAATTATCATTATTATTGCTGTGGTTGTTGTTGTTACTATAATTATTACTACAACTTGAACATTGATCAAGTTCATCAGTTATGGATCTGGTGCTTTGGCTAGTGAGTACGGGTTTTTGGGGTGGTTGTGCTTGGATTTTGGCCTCCAGTTTGTCAACCTTACCTTTGAGCTGGTTCATGTACGCCACGGCATCAGCGAGCAAAGAGGACCTGTCCATTTCTGACACGTTGGGAACAACAGAACGAAGGAGACATATTCGATGGTTGAGCTTATCCCTCCCTTGTTTCTCTGCCTCAACATGGTTCAGTAGTTGTGATTGTCTACTTGTAGCTCCATGGTTTGAAGATGATGGTCTTCCCCTCTTTTTTGATTGAGGGTTCTATGTATTCGCAGGGGTGAAATTGCCAAAAGAGTCATAAGATGAGCCTGTTGATGACCTGTCTGTATGGATAATGGGTTCATTTGCACCACCTTCTGGTAAAAAATAATAAAATATTGGTGTTAACGAAAAAATTTAGGGTTTGAATCAAGAATCCTGTGAATGTTTAGGGTTTAAGGTTTCAAGGACATAGACTTACCACAACCAAAGTAAATAACAGTAGTAATAATAATGCTTTTATTTAAAGATGACAATCTAATTTCCTACTAATTAATTTTATCAATGCAGAAAAGATTATTCGATACAAATAACTAGTTGACCATATTATTGCGAATATTCTTCTTAGATTCTAACCATGTTGCATGTCCGACTATTCAAATTATCAACATATCGACACTTTATCAATTATAAAAAATGTCGTTCATATCATTAATAAACATCGATACTTAAATTACATAATTGTCGACCAGCTGGCTAGCCTTTGGTACCAAGTAAAAAATCACACTCTCTAATTTAATATAATTTAAAATAATTATTATTGACACTCAAAAATGTCATCATGCATTTACAAAGTCATAAAATCACAAAGAAAAATTTAATTAACAAAAAAGTGCATAATGACATATTTTTAGAGAGGGCACCCTAAATCTATGTAAATAATTGGTGGTTACCTTGTATGGTGAATTCTTTTTGACCTCCTGAAAGAAATATCTTTTCTAGGGGATCAGGAATTTGTTGTTCTTCTGGTCGGATCCAAAGAGTGATTTTGATAGGTGCACAAGACCCCAATCTTGCATGATTACATCCGAAGAAGCCAGTTCAAGTACCCCACA